GCTGTTGACGTGGACAAATAAGTGTTGTTTAGGTATTCTCTGTAGGACGTCCTGTAGCTGTGCGTGTGTGAGAGGCGTTTCTGTCACCACCGCGCGTGGCGGGAAAATAGTTGGACTACACCATTATTCATGGCGTGCTTTTTTTTTATTCTTTATTAAAGTTATTATTGAAAATAATTTGACAACCATGTTTCTCAATTCTCTAATATAGTGAGTATATGCACGTGCTTCGTCTGTTGAATTTGTTTTTAAGCAGTAGACTTTAATCAGAATTAGCCTGCATACCATCCTGGGTAGTTTCCGTCCGCTCCAATAGTCGCTACCACCAACTAGACTTCAGATTATGCATGGCCACATAAACTCACAAACACAATTCTTTTGTGTTGGACATAAAGATAAAACTTCACCAACACATATAAACTTTTATTCTCTCAAAACTTTACTCTCTCATGAATTAGTTGCAGAACAGTTCAACTTTCAGCACAGGGTAGCCCTTCTTCATGTACCGCTCCATCAACACCACCTCCAGGCCCTCCAGATCTCCCTCTGCCATCTCCTCCACGGCCTGCCGGTTGGCCTCCCTGACCCAGCCGACTGGCAACCACATTCCCTCCATCCTTGCATAGGTCATCAGACCTGCCCTTGGGGCGCCGGGACGATGGTATTCGTCGATCTTCATCGGTGGATCTAGCTCCTTATCGCTCCATGCTATAACCTTTTGTGCATTTTCTACGTGGTGTACTGTCTGTAGAGTCAACTTCTACAAGTAAAAAAGGGAAGAAAATTGTCAAAACATTGCAAGAACACACATGACCTTCAGTGTTAATAGCTGCTACCTTGTTCAGTCATGTCTTGTACTCGGGATAATCCAAACTAAATGTTTCAATTCGTTTTTAAATTACTGTAAAAAAAGGCAAAGAGCATTTTTTTTCTCTAAGTTAATGATAAACACACACCATGATGTCTGCTGATGTCCGGAGGTAATCCTTGACGGTGTAAATGAAATTTCTCTGTCACGTCTGAGACGATCTTAATTTTGGCGGGAAAATAGTTGGACTGTAACATTACTTACGTAACTTTTTTGTTTATCCATTTCATCCAAAACACTTTTTGTGTTGTATCTGAATCATTGCTTACCGTTACTAGTAATAATGGTACCCAGACTTAAGTGACGGTTTGGAGCCTTTCGGTCCTATAGTGTGCATCTTTCCGTAAAAGTGACGCCCCCATTTTTATATGCGCATATCCCACTCATATCCCGCGCGTTGCTTAGCGCAAGGACGACAACAGTACTACTAAAGGGGTGAGATGAATGAATATTAGATATCAAAAAATGAATCACAGTAGTATATTTATTGTACGGAAGGTATTTAGCTAATAATCTTTATTGAAATAAGATCTACTTTGAAAACAAACATCTCTGTTGTACCTTACCTTATGTCCACTCACAAAGCACTCCCCCTGGCTGCGTAGTTGGCTCGTCCATCAAGATAGCAACTTACGCTATTATTTAGGGAGAGTGTGACGCATTTTATTGTAAAACTCTCAATCAGACTACAGTTCATATCTTTTAATAGCTGCTAAGAAACTTTTTATTTGACCAGAATAGATAGAATCAGCTACGGCCGGCTTTAGAACGACAGTGAATGTTGGCCGCACATTTTAGGGGTTCACATGCGGTGTTTCCAGAGTGCAGAGGTCAGCGCTTCAATTTCCGGCGGGGGCATGGCTGGACGACCTCGGAAATACATGTGAAAGAATTGTACGTTTGTAGTTTGCAGTATTTTTTTGAAGCCCAGTTATTTACTACCCTAGCCACACCATTAGGAGATCATCAGCGTCGACACGGCCTAAAAGGATTTGGTTGTCGCACGGCGCGTCACGGCCATGCTTTGTTACAACACGCCTCAAACCTCTGACGAGATACGCACTATCAAAAATTGACAATCAGTGGAAGGTTGCAGTTATCTGACACGTAATTATTCTATTTGTTTACGCATAACGTAACTAGGATTGTAAAAAATGATCAATATATGTATCATCCGAAGTTACAGCACCCTGTTTAAAATAGAACAAAATCAACAATTTTCTTATTTTAACGCAGCGCTGCTTAATCTGACGGCAATTCACAGCTTGATCGAGCATGGTCCGTGTAAACTCGTCTCCACATGGAAAATTCTTTGGTTACCCACATGCTCATTTATCATTAATTGAAACGTAACGGTTTTTTGACAATCCACGTCCGTGCTCTGTGATGTCGAACTAGTAAAAACTCGTCCGAAGTTACAGCACCATCCGTTACACATCCAACCATCCAAACACACATCCAAACAAACTAGAAAGATGTAAATATTGCAAAAACACGCCCAAAACACTGAGACTAAGTCGTATCTTTACATCTGCTTTGAGATTACTACAGGGCCACCTGTTCACACATGCTATATTGCAGGCTCTCAAACATGTGGAACTATTTCAAAGCAGATGTAGGGTCAGTCTTATTTTTTGCGATGTTTTCTGTGTTTTTTCTAATGTCGGCCATTTTCATGAATCACGCTATGGAGATAGGAAAACATGAACACGCTGACCGCTAGAAAGATGTTGGAAATGGTGCCAAAACAGACGTAGAACAAGCTGAACCCTGCATCTGCTTGGATATTAGTGGCCCTCTCCGCTCACGTTGCTCGTTGCCGCCCACTTCCGGGTTCCTGTAGCCAATCAGCGCCGGCCACGCTCTGGGCGTGCGGGGTTGTGTGTTGGACAATGCTGATTGGTCCAGATGTAGTCACGTGTATAAGCGTGGTGCACGCTGATTGGTTGACTGTGAGGTATTCCCCGATCGGGTTTCCTCTGTCGGTGTCAGACGATATTTTCGACTTGTGAGGGTTTGACGCCTTTTCTCTTTTCCAAGAGATAATTTGACGAAAACAGTCATCATGTCGGCGAAATACTGGCTCTTCGGAGCTCTGTGCTTGTTTCTGGCTACAGGTGAGCTACTGCAAGCTTTTGTACGATGATTTTCAGAGGGAAATTCGGTGTAGAAAACCCACGTGTGTGTTTGCGAGCTCGAGAGGGAGGGGGGCGTGATGTACTGTGCCGGTACCTGATTTTAGTCCTTTAAATTTTCGTTTCTTCACTACTTTGTTTTACACAAATTTATAAAGCAGTGTTTTGATCGCTGTTCAGGCGTGTCTACATGTTGTACAGAAGGTAGTTTGTTCAGTTAAAAATGTTATGGCATTTGCCTCCTGTCTCTGGAGTTTTTTCCGGCAAATAACATTTCGACCAAAATTATCTCTCAACTCAAAATCGTGTTTTGAAAATTATTCTCTGAACACTGTTAAAATACCTCTTGATTAAGAATTAAAACTTTTAGCCACTGAAGGTTGCAAAGTTTGAAATGAGCCGTGTTTGATTTTATGATACTTCACTTTATACAGTTAATGTGCAGGAAGCCATAGACAATCTACTCTTGTATTTGAAAAAAAAAAATTATTGCGATCGACAAATTATCTGAAAAACGAGAAAGATTTTAGATGATGATACCGTAATTTACCTTTGGAAAGTCCAAACTGAAATGTAAGAAAGTAAAAAGACAAGACTGGGCTATCATAAGATATTATCGCGATTACATGTTGTAACATGGTAATCAGATTATCAGAGATATGGTAACCTCTCACCATGAACTCAGTGAACTAGTACATTGTTTCTCCTATTGGTAAATAATTTCATCAGGTTGGTGAATGTTTGCAAAACAAAGCTCTTTATTCACAACCACTTGTTTACGAGGCCCTTTTCAAACAAGTGGTTCAACCTTGTGAATAGAGAACTGTGCCCTTCATTGTTTCATATTCAAACTCAGAGATTCCGAAAGATTGATTTGTACTAATAAAAAGTACTATGCCATAAAATTTGGATGCAATGCATGCACAGCATAATGTTAGAACAGATGCAGACATGAGAAAACAAAATGCCTGTGGTGTTACAAAAAAAAGCATGGGTAACAAAATTCATTTTCTTTTCAAACACCTGTTCAGGTACATCTGACATAGGTTTTGATTACTTTTCTCCTTGCCCCCCACCCCACAGCTACTGTGTATGCTGATGACGAGGCTGATGCCACAGTTGAAGATGACATCGGTGACCATGCGGAGGGGTCCAGGACTGACGACGAAGCTGTCAAGAGGTAACTTAAACCTTCAATAGTATACAGGCTTTCAAATCGATTTTATTTTAGATGTGTTTGTGTAATGTTGTGTGTCTGTGCTATAGGCCATTGAGCCTGAAATAAACAATGAAAAATAAATAAAACGTTCACTGCCATCTCTTGACATAGCCATGTTTCTATCCACCCTCATATTTCTAGTTCAATGCCGAGAAGTGGTTGTGTATGCCTTGCATTGAAAAAAAAAATACTAACAGCCAGTGATTGAAACAAATACTAGTAGTATTAAATTCTACAGACAAGTAGGGTTTGATAATAGATGTAGGGCAGATGTAGGGCAGAGAATCCTGTTTTTTTCTGACTGGCCTCCACCCTCTGGAGGACAATACAATATTGTCCCCCCTATATCTGCTTGGAGATGAGTCCTTGATGCAATGGCCTTTGGCATATTGGTTATGTAACAAGGCTAGGCCTGTACAGCAGGTTTTTGTGTGTGTCAAGGGTTGGTGGCAATGGTGCAATAGTGTAACTACAGGTACTCGCCACATGTCAACAATGTTTATAGTAAATTGATTATACAGGTATTTGCCCAAAAATGCCACATCACCAGGATTTTACCTTGGTTCACAATTTCTACATGATATGGCTGAGTGGTCACCTGATTGTTACATTTCCATATTTGGTGATGCACTGTCAACAATTGCATTGTGAGAGTATTTGTTATTGTGACTTATGTACTACTTTCAATGACTACAAAGGATGTATTTTTTTTATCGCCAGAAACCGTTAATCCTTTGATTTTGTAGGTGATCAATACAATCTTAATAATTCAGCATCATTGTGAAGAGAAAAAGGAAACCCTTGCCAATTCAGGGCTGGTGTCTGAAATTTGCAGAAAATTTTAAAACAGTGGAGAAAAAGTATACTAATAAATAATTTGCAATTTGGTTAGTCAAAAGAATGCTTGGTATTATGAATAACATGAAATCCCTACATGCATCTGAAGAATATTTAGCATTTCTTGATATCACTGTACATCAGCATCGTATTGGCACTCAGTGCACATGTGCCTAGGCCTTAAGTCTCCAAAAGGTCTGATGATTTCAGTTCAAACATTTTCAGTGGCCATTTTGCCGTAAAGAGTTTCAATCCATTTATATAACTTGTTGAGCAGAAACTAAGTGCTGCCTTTCAAAGCAATTGATGTAAATGTGTTGAACCTGTTCCAAACTGTCCATTGTTAGATAGGATGATTAAATCATCTCCTATGCATTAGCTGTTTTCTTGCAGGTTCGATGAGCCTAGTTAAATTGGCATCAGTTTGATTTCTAAAATCAATCTCTTTTGGTGCTGTTTCACAGGGAGGAAGAGGCCATCAAGTTGGACGGATTAAATGTGGCACAAATAAAAGAAATGAGAGATCGAGCGGAAAAACATGAGTTTCAGGCTGAAGTCAGTCGTATGATGAAACTCATCATCAACTCTCTGTACAAGAACAAGGAGGTGAGCAAGATTTTTCTTTTTTTCAGTCATGTCTTAGACTTAAACCTTTCCTTAAAAGTCATACAATACTGGTATATATTCATCACTTTTTAAGGCATTGATTCCTCAATATCTATTTCCAGCATTTGAATAATCACAATTGTTATTTTCTTAACCAGATCTTCCTTCGTGAGTTGATCTCCAACTCTTCTGATGCTCTGGACAAGATTCGCTTCCTCTCGCTTACAGACAAGGACGTACTGTCTGGGAATGAAGAACTTACCATCAAAATCAAGGTAAGAACTCTAACATATTTTGAATGCAGTTGTTGCAATACTAGTTATAGCCCATACTTTGCTAATGTTTATTTACTAAACCTCCCGTTTTTTTGTATACCCGTCTGTATGTCTGTGTTTTTCTGATTAGGGTGAAGTTTGCTATCTCTGATTGCCTTGTTATGTATATACATGTGCATGCAAACCTCATATGGAGTCCTTGCTTTAAAGCATTAACCATGCAATAGAATAGTCTCAATGTTGTTGTGAGAAACAAACAAGTCACTCATTATCTATACTGCCACAACTACAGGTGGACAAAGAGAAGATATAGACTTGGGAACTAAATGTGTTTACATGTGAAACTCAGAACCCCTGCTTGAAATCAGTGACCATGCTATAGAATGATCTCAACAATGTTTTAAGATGGCTTTGGATGATTTATTTATTATCGATACTGTCGTGACTACAGGCGGACAAAGAGGGCGGCGTCTTGCACGTTACGGACACCGGAATTGGTATGACGAAGGCCGACCTGGTGAACAACCTGGGTACTATCGCCAGGTCCGGCACCAGCGAGTTCCTGAACAAACTGGCAGAGGGCACGGCTGAGGAACAGAGCGCTCTCATCGGCCAGTTTGGTGTCGGCTTCTACTCTTCATTCCTGGGTAAGTCTACCGTATTGACAACATAGTCTTCTTTTTGAAAAGATTGTTTGTTTCTTGGATGGAAGTATTGTTTTGACTTGCGCCAATTAATGCTAGTGTGTATGTTTGGGTTTGGAGTCCATAGATGCATTCTATCTATGGTGTAGTTTATTGGATCTAGATATTAAGAGCTTGGTTCCTCTTGATGTCCAGTGTCTGACCGTGTGGTGGTGACCAGCAAGCACAACGAGGACAAGCAGCACATCTGGGAGTCTGATGCTGGTTCTTTCAGTGTGGTGGAGGATCCTCGCGGTGACACCCTGGGCAGAGGCACCACTGTCAGGTCAGTAACCATGCTGTACAAGTTTACATTGTGACATTGACATTGTACTGATTTGCATAGGTTCTTGTCTTGCAGTAAGGAACTACACAGGTCCATGCTTAACAATCAATTGCATTTTAGAATATGCCAAAAGTAAAAAAAAAGGATTTGGAAAAGGAAGTTTAGATTGTAGTCTAATTAAAGAAAACTTATGCATAGGTTGTTAACTGAATGTGCTGAAATTGTGCTATTTTACCGTATATACCAACAGAAACACCCAGACCTGATGATTTGCTGTACGAACAGCATACAATGTAATGCTAAAGTAAAAGCCCTGCTCTGTTTTTCCAGCCTGCACTTGAAGGAAGAAGCTCAGGACTTCCTGGAGCCTCACACCATCAAGGAGTTGGTGCGCAAGTACTCACAGTTCATCAACTTCCCCATCTACCTGTGGACTAGCAAGGTAGGGAGACTCATTATTCATACTTCCTTTAGTTACTGGCATTTTCCAGTGGTGGAGTCGTGTGGCGCAACGGCAGCGTGCGCGACTCGGAATCAAGAGGTCCTGGGTTCGAGTCCTGACATGCCACTGATCTTGTGCCCTTGGGAAAGGCACTTTACGCGACTTTCCCCACTAGACTCAGGTGAAAATGAGTATTGTCTGTCCAGTATTTGTTTCTATGTGCGGGACACAACACCAGCAACAGCTGCCTCTGTCCTGCGTGTATTGCATTGTTGCAATTTCAATAAAATTAAAAAAAAAAAATTTTCCAGTGGTTACTTTCATCTTTGGATAAGTCAACTGCTGACGTATTTTCTCTGTGCCGGTTTGATTTTTATGGAGTTGTAAGTTTGACTGTAACCCTCCCCCTGCAGACAGAGACAGTGGAGGAGCCTATTGATGAGGAAGAGGCTGAAGAAGAGGCAGATGAGGAGAAGAAGGAAGAGGAGGATGAGGATGCCAAGGTGAGATAGCTTAATATGTTAAGTCCTTGCATACATTAGCACATGATAATTGTTTCCAATGTACTTGCTTAATGTAAACGTTATTTAAAAAGTGTCTCACATTTTGATCCTTACGCCATGTTATTTCCATCAAAAGGGATATAAATGTTTACCTTCATACCTGAATCATAATTTATTATGTTTGTTATGTCTTCTTCCTTTTAAATGCTCACAAGGATGAGGATGAAATAGATGAGGAGGAGGAGGATGATGGGAAGGTACCAGCATTTAGTCTAATTAGTGACTCTGTGATCTCTAAGGTTTTATGTGGCTTGTGAAGGGCCTCTTTCAAGGGTTTTAGGGTAAAAGAAAAATGAACAACAGGGAACAGATACACTAAATGTTCACAGTAGTTTTAATTTTGCAGTTTTCATGGTGACTGTGTTACTGCAGTAGATGTAGGGTTTTAGGTGGCTTGTGTTTCAAGGGTTCAAGGTGCAAAATACAACAACAGGCAAAAGATACAGTAAATCCTGAAATGTTCAGTGGTTTTATTTTTGCGGTTTTCATGCTGACTGCAATTATGTGTTTTATTGTATTACTACCGCAGTAGATGTCCTTTAGAATAAGGAATCCAGTAAGTTTTTCCTCAGAAAAGACACCTCCCATTCTCCTAATGAAAGCCATTTCTGTTTTATTCCTTACTAGGTTGAAGAGGAAGATGAAGAAGAAGAGAAGAAGCCCAAGACCAAGTCCGTGGAGAAGACCACCTGGGACTGGGAGCTGATGAATGAAAACAAGCCCCTCTGGACCAGGCCGTAAGTGTAAAGTTTAACCCTCTAACACATATCTAAAACATTATTTGTCATTTTTGTCGAAAAGGTTTGTGGCACCTATGATCACTTGATGAAAGTGTTGTCTTTGCTGTTGCTAAGCAGCAAACACAGGGATGGGTGCAAGACGTGGGGTCGTGTGGCATAACGGCAGAGTGGTTGGAATTGGAACAAGAGGTCTGGGGTTCAATCCCTGCGATGTCACCAATCTTTTGCCCTTGGGAAAGGAAGGCACTTTACTCGACTTTCCTGGATGGACGCCTGGCAAACCCCATATAGTATTAGCCACAAAAAGACAGCAGAATTGTCAGCTAGTTGAAGGCAGCTGCCTCAAAATGAAGGAAAGACAAAAGAGCCCAGCCTCATCACTGTCTCCTTGTTTACCCTCCTGTTGTCATGGTTACAGACCAAAGGAGGTTACGGAGGAGGAATACGAGGAGTTCTACAAGTCCTTCTCCAAGGACAGCGACGCCCCGCTGGCCCACACCCACTTCGTGGCCGAGGGAGAGGTCACCTTCAGGTCCATCCTGTTTGTACCCAAGACTGGTCCTCGCGACATGTTCCAGGTAACATTTCATTTCTAAATTTCATTTTATTGTAAAATTAACCTGGCAAAAGTACAAGGTAAATCTGGATTTTGTCAGATTTTTACAAATTTACGCCTGCTACAACAATGCTGTACATATAACTACTCATGCACTATGCAAATTATTACTACAATACTATTCATGTACTTTTGTATGTTTGCTTTACTTAAGTTTAGGCCATGTGCCAAAAATGCATTGCATAAAAGATACTGGAAAGTGGTGTAATGACTTCATGAAAAGTTGTTTGCTTTACTTATTAAGTGCTTTATTGACTGAAAAGTTATTTGTGTGAATGTGCTTTTGGTGAAAAGTCACACACTTTGTACATATTTGATGTTACATTGTTGCACTGTTTCTCCACAGGAGTATGGTAAGAAGGTTGACTACATCAAGCTGTTTGTGCGACGTGTCTTCATCACCGACGACTTCCAAGACATGATGCCCAAGTACCTGTCCTTCGTCAAGGGCATGGTGGACTCTGACGATCTGCCGCTCAACGTTTCCCGTGAGACGCTACAACAGCACAAGCTTCTTAAAGTCATCAAGAAGAAGCTCGTCAGAAAGGTAAGAGCTTTTGTTTCAGTTCTCTTGTTTGCGATTTGGTTTTTGGTGTGGAAAAGGAATGTGCAAGGTTATAGAATCACTCTTGCAGTGTTTGTTGGTGTGTTTTGTGTACTATACAGTTCAAAATCACACTTTTGTAGTGTTTGATGGTGTGTTTTGTACTATACAGTTCGAAAGAACACTTTTGTAGTGTGTGTTTTATACTATACAGTTCGAAATCACACTTTTGTAGTGTTTGTTGGTGTGTTTTGTACTTTTGCAGATTGAATCACCCTCTGGCATGTTCTCTCCTTTCTGAAACAGCTGGCTTCCAGCTGTTCCCTGCTAAGCATGCTGTTCCAGGACCAAAGCATGGCTGTCCTGAACACCAGCGGTTTGCTCCACGTGTGGTACACAGTTTGGCCTAAACCTCCACAGTAATGTGGTATTTTTTTCTCCCATCTATTTTTCTCCACAGACTCTGGATATGATCAAGAAGATCGAGGGCGAGGATTATCTGGAAAAGTTCTGGAATGAGTACAGCACCAAGTAAGTTAATGGTGTGCCTTGGTGACAAATAATACATGATCTTTCACTCGCTACCTTACTCAGACTCTGGACATGATCAAGAAAATGGACAGTGATGAATATCTGGAAAAGTTCTGGAAAGAGTACAGCACCAGGTGAGATACATGTACATTCCCATGGTAGTTGTGACAAAGCATCTGATTGGCCATGGTATTTGTGATGGAACATATGATTAGCTGTAGTACTATAGTTGTGTCAGTACATCTGATTGGTCCATGCCGTGGTTGGGGATAACCAAATAAGACATTTGTAAAACTCTGATTCTAATTGGCGTATTTTGATGCCAATCCTGTCTTACAGTAGAACTAAAAACACATTGTTTGTGGTAAGAGCCATGAAAATAAAACCACTGCAAAAGTTTCTACATTTACAGTAGACGTGTTTACATGCACGAATGGTTGATCAGGTCTGTATGAGACTGGAACCAACAAATTCCACCCTGTTTTCCAGCATTAAGCTGGGTGTTATCGAGGACCACTCCAACAGGACCAGGCTGGCCAAGCTGCTGCGTTTCCAGTCCTCCAACTCTGAGAGTGACGTCACGTCTCTGGCCGAGTATGTGGAGAGGATGAAGGAAAAACAGGAGGCCATCTTCTTCATGGCAGGCACAAGCAGGAAGGAGGTGAGCACATAAGCTATGGCCTTAACTCAGCGCAAAAGTTTGGAACTTGTTTGGAATTTGATCTGCCACCTATAATAGTAAGACACAGTTTAGCTTTGTGTCTGTTGATTTTTTAACCACTCAGCAGCACCTTAATTATGTAAGATATAGACATTTGGTTCCAAAAGGCTGCCTTAGCATCAGTATCTGTATCTGTACAGCAAGTATAACTGCCCTTCTATGTAACACACCAGTTCCACAGTGGGAGCTGGCTGGCCCAACCTCTGCACATCTAACAGCAAAGCTATCAAGTGTCCCAACTGTCAATGACTGTATTTCTACTCTATTATAGCTCTAGTTGTGAAGCAAAGACCTGTGTTTTTAAGACAAAAGATTGACCATGTTCCTCCCCTCCCCCAGGCTGAGAGCTCTCCGTTTGTGGAGCGTCTGCTGAAGAAGGGTTACGAGGTTCTGTACCTGGTGGAGCCTGTGGACGAGTACTGCATCCAGTCCCTCCCCGAGTTCGACGGCAAGAAGTTCCAGAACGTCGCCAAGGATGGGCTCAAGATCGACGAGTCAGAAAAGGTTTGTTTTTTTGTTTTTTAAATTCATGATTCACCACAAAACAAGGCTCTTGGGATCCACTCAAATGTTTTATGCTCTTGTACAGTCAGCGAGGACAGATGTTTGTTGACACTTGCACACATGCCTCCCTTCAGCCTTACTATAAATACAAAAATGGTTTACTGAAGGAAAAAAACTCAAATTCCTCAAAATTTGCACCTCAAAAGGCAGAAAGTAGTGTTTGAGAGCATTATGAATTTCAAAAAAGCCCCCCTTAAAAGCTCCATCTTAAAAAGACACCCAACAATAAATCCTACCTAAAAGCCTGATGTATAATTTGCTGACACAGGTGAAGGAGAAGCGAGAGGAGATGGAGAAGGAGTATGAGACACTGCTCACCTGGCTGAAGGACTCCGCCCTCAAGGACCAGATTGAGAAGGCCAGGCTGTCCGAGAGGCTGACCGAGTCCCCCTGCGCCCTGGTGGCTAGCTCTTACGGCTGGTAAGTGTGCAGCTATTTATTTGGTACTATGGGAATTTAAGCTAGTCTCTACGCAGATCATACGGTAGCAAGGTAGTATCCATTGGCCAGAGGAGTGTCCATTAGCCAATGGATACTGTCTGGCTAATGGATACTGCCAATTTGATACTGTCTTTTGCGGCCATCGAAAGATCTGCTTGGAGATTAAATTTAAGCTATGTAGCTACATGTATATATGTGAAGGAAAGTAAAATTTTTCACTAATGACTCTTGGATTTTATATGATGTAATTTTCATGTGTTTACTTGGAGCTACTCAAGAACTGAATCAATTTTGAAATATTTGTGGCAGTTTTATTTCAGTTAACTAACTTTGTGGTTTGTTAGTTTTCCCAGTTCTGGTTGTTGATTAAAAAAAATTTATTCCTTCTGCAACTAATCTGTAACCTTTGATACTCCCCTCCACAGGTCAGGAAACATGGAGAGAATTATGAAGGCCCAGGCTTACGCAAGGTCGAAGGACAGCAGTCAAGAGTAAGTACAGCTTTTTTCCTTCAAATGTTATTAACAAATGCCCATTAAACTGGATGGAATGTTTAAGGGCTTACTTGTAGAAAACCTTTTTTTCCGTGAAAACTTTTTTGCACAATATGTTTATGCAATGATCATGATAGGATAGTTTACATTTTGTTTCTCACATTTGCATAGTGTATCTATACGAATCTCACCAGTAATGTTTCATGTTTGTTTGCTCCACAGTTTCTATGGTTCACAGAAGAAAACTCTTGAGCTCAACCCCCACCATCCACTTGTCCAAGAGCTGAAAAATAGAGTTGATGTAAGTACAGAATATATCTTTAGATTTACAACTCTGGTTTAGCCTTTTTACGTCTGTGTGTGAAAGTACTGTTTTGGGTGGTGGAGCTGTGGATTGTCTGGACAGAGTAGGTTGACAGTATGTGGGTGGGGGAAAGATTGACAGGCATAATGACGTGTCAAAAAGTTTGAAGCAGAAAGTTAGAAATCTCCCATTTCTTTTTGCTATCTTTGTAATGCAAAGCTGTTACAGTAAACAACACACATCCCAGTGCATTTAATCTTGATCTTGTTCATACATGTTTGATATGAGCTGGAAATTGACATATTCTTCCATTTTGTCAGACTGACCAAGAGGACCAGACAACAAAAGAGCTGGCTCAGATCCTTTACGACACGGCCGTGCTGCGTTCAGGCTTCATGCTGCAGGACTCCTCCAACTTTGCCAACAGAATCGAGCGCATGCTGAGACTCAGTATGAACGTCGACCTCAATGCAAAGGTTTGTACAAATAATGTCTTTGATAATACTTTGAAATGTTGTGTATTGATGTTTCTTATATGGTAATTCCAAAAGCTTGACAAATAGCAGAACCTAAAAGATCATGTGATGTGATGATATACAGAGCTTTGTTTGTAGATGAACTTTGCATTTTGAAGTAAAACCTTGATTGTTTGTTGTGAGTTTGGCTCTTTAGAAATACAAAATTCTAAGAACAGTATTGTTGTACAAGCTGTAAAGACACAAATTTCAGGAATGTTCTACAGTTTTTTTCCCCATTTTTTAATAGCTGTAATATATCTTGATGTTTTAACATCAACTTATCGGGTGTATTGTGTTGTGTTTTGTAGGCTGAGGGCTGGGAGGAAGATGAAGAGGAGGAGGAGGGTGATGAGGAGGAAGGGGAGGATGTGGATGCTGAGGAGGCAGAGGAGGAGGAGGAGGAGGAGGGAGATGCTGAAGAAGCTACAGCAGAAGAGACAGAGGAAGATGTTGTCGAGGTCAGTTGTTGAACAAAATGTTTATCATGTAGAAAGTCAGGGCTCTAGCCAGCACCCGTTTTTCCGTCAATTGCATGAACTTTGTATAATGTGATGGAACGAAATCAATCCGTCAACCTTGATGGATAAAATTGACAAAGATCTTGGGTAAATGTAAACATCAAAAGGACCAATGACAACCACTCCTAACCCCATGATTTGTATTTCAAAATGTGGGAAATAGCACTTTTCAAGGCTTGAAAATCCTAAATTTTCCCCTGGACCTAGCAATATATATTCATGTAAATATACCTTAAGAAAAGTGTCAGCTAATGCTAATGTTTACATGTCCTCATATCTGTTTATGTTGTTTTTTTTTTGTCTTCTAGGGAGAAGAGGCTGCTACAGAAGAAGTAAAGGATGAGCTCTGATACCACTGACACACTCATCCTCACGTGTACATTTTTCAACAATGTAAAAATTCTGAGAGACTGCTATCAGACCAGGCTTTGTATTTTTGTCCGGCATTTCATGAGGGATCGAATTTGACCATATTTTTTCATACCTGCCTGGTAGAGCTGGGAGTATATACTAGTGTCGTGCTGAACTGGGTACATGTATGTGCAAATGCAGCTAAAAAGAATCATTAATTACTATCTTGGTGAATATACCATCATCTTTTAGAGAGAAAATAATAGTAGAAAGCAGGGAGCGGTATCCTTTGTGTACATGGTTTTATGTGTTACAGCCTTGTGGAAGAAAACTGAATATGTCACTCTTTGGGATCTTGTTGCATAAGTCATGTAACAAAGATGACTTAAGGTTTTCATTTGACATTTCATGCCCTCCTTACTGATGTTGTAATTTGTGTCAGATCTACGTAAACTACTAGACAAGGATTAAAGAATGCACAAGTAAGTTAAATGTCACAGTATAATGATATGAAAAGAAGGTATTTTCAATTGATGAATACAAATTTATGTCTTGACACTTGGGATAAACTTGACTGGATTTGAATGTTTTCCAAACCACCTTATCGTTTTTGCAAAGCTGTTAACTTGGTGTTTCTGTTTAAGATTTCTTTGTTTTTACTTGTTACTTTGCTCTCCAAGACTGTCAAAGAAGAATATTATATAGATCAGGATGAACCTGAATAATAGAAAGGGGGGATGCAGTCAGTGGGTATAATAAAGACTGCTAGAAGAAGAAAAAAGCATTCCATAGTTATGATTTGCCACCAACCTGATATTGTACATTTCTGAAGTACTTGGGAAATAAATTGTGTACTTCACATGTACAAGCGAACTTGCTTTGTCCTTTTTCATCTAGAAGTCAGAGGTATTGGCCAACAAAAGTAGACTTGTCACTTCTTGCCATGCTTAGGAATATGGTGCCTGCAAGTTGTTAATAATGTGTTTGTAGAAACAAGACACTTTTGTGTATGGAAGCAGTTTGGTGGTTTGTAGAATATGTGAAATAGAAAGAACTGGTATAACAACTGAAAAGTGCAGACTGTTTTGCTGAGTCCATATTTTAATCAATTGTACATGATTGTTCCCAGATATCCAAACCTAGACACACTAAAAAAAATAAATTCTACATCAAAATTATTGAGAAACAAAACTAAAGTGTCACTATCTTTCATAATGAAAGATTGTGTGTGCTATCTGAAATGTTTTTGAATTTGGTAAAATTGTGCTCTGGCAGCTAAAATACACTAGTATGTACAAAAATATGATACATTCATGTATTCAGCAAGTTAGAAATATATATAGCATTCCTTAAAATACAGTTTCTTGCACTCTTACTCTTAAGATAATTAGTCAGCTCCAAAGTATGTTCTTGCCAGAACAAAATCTTTCCTTTTCTCAGCATGCCAAAGGTTAATGATGACCAAAGCCAACACCCCTCCCTCCTACCACCTTACCCTTCCTATATACATGTATATATTATTGTGCGATTGTCGTGCAATATCTAGCCCTGCGTTATAAAATTATCTAGCCCTACATTATCTAGCCCTACGTCGCATTTAACCCTTGTCCTGCTGGCATTCCTGGCACAATAATTTCATGTCTTAATTATATCATAGATCAATTTTTTTTGGCCCTTCAGTGGCATAGTTACTTCCGCATTCGTTGTGTTTCAATGCGGTGTGATGTATTGCACAAGAAATACCCCCAAATCGTACCTATACAGGGTGTTATAGAGATGGTACCGTATGTACAGAACAACAATTGTTGTGCTCCGCAGGACAAGGGTTTTAAAACAATCACAAGGCCTTCATTCCAATTAGCCTTCGCAATTCCTCAAAGATCAGGAATGTCACGATCGTGTGAGGACCGATCCGCATCCAGTTGGGGATGAAGCCCTTGTACAGCCCGAACAGTCCCTCACTACGCATCGTCTTCAGCAGACAGTCCAGCGAGTTACGGTACAGCCACTGGTCACGAGGTAGGTCTGGGGAAAATAAAATGTTGCAAGACTGTAAATAACCATATCTAAAATGCAGTAGCATATCAAGGTATACCACTGAACTGAACCACTAGTCTGGGTCTATTCAAATTATATCAAGGCAATTACAGGCATATGAATCAGGTATCATTTCTTGCAGGTTTGCATGTTGAGAAGTTTTCATCGGTTCAACATTTTCGATGTCATTGTTGTTAGTCTCCCAGACAGACTTTTAGGACTCACATTTAGAAGCTTGGCTCATGATCCTTCTCTTAGTCACTGTTGGTCTCCCTATCAGACCTTTAGGACTCATGTTCAGAGGCTTGGTACATACATATAATCCTAGCCTAGTAGTCTTCATACCAGACTTTTAGGACTAATGTGTACAAGCTTTGTTCATGATCCTACTAAGTCTTGATCACTGCAAGGAGGTTAAATACTCCTTGATCACTGTTAGTCTACCTACCAGTCTTTTAGGACTCACGTTAGGAGGCTTGGTTCATGATCCTAGCCTAGCCTAGTAGTCTTCATACCAGTCTTTTAGGACTCACGTTAGGAGGCTTGGTTCATGATCCTAGCCTAGCCTAGTAGTCTTCATACCAGACTTTTAGGACTCACGTTTGGAAGCTTGGTTCATGATCCTAGTCTTGATCACATCCACAGGTGAAGTAACGAAGGCCGTGATGAAGCCGGCGACCATGGCCGACACGCAGAATAACGGAAAACCTTCCTCCATCAGGCCCGCGTTCAAGATGGCGTGTTTGGTGTGGTCATACGACGGAATCTGAAACAAAAAGACTCTTTAACATAATAATTTATTTACTGCATCAGATCAGATCATCAGGGGTCGTGTCGTAATGATTAGATGGATCTCTATATTCAGGATATTGCGTCAGTGCTGTTGTCACGCCAACTCCTGTGGTATGGGCACATCACATAAGTAGCTGCATCAATACCACCACTGGACTACTGCTGCCAGGGAACAGTGGTTAAGGTAGACTTTTAAACGATCATGATCCCATATGCCAATTTGATCATGTGGATAATTACGCGAACAAGAAGATTTAGGTGTGAAAACCAATCAGATTTCCCACCTGCGAAGCTGTGAGAATGGCTGCTCTCTTCACAGTCGGCCCGATCCCCCTATACAGTCCCCTCAGACCCTCTGTGTGCCAGATCTCACTAAAGGCGTGGAAGGTGCTGCGGTACCGGGGCTGGACACCAGGGGGCAGTCTTTTCTCAGCCTGGAGCCGGACCTTGACCAGGTCTGTTGGTGTGGCAATAGAACTACCAATGGCTCCTAGAATAGAAAAATGTTACATTTGAACATTATATCACTGGGAAAGTGAACTTCTCTCTCTCTCTCCCTCCCTCTCCCTTTCGCTCTCTCTTTCTCTCTCTATCCGGTTTATCGTCTGTTGTTCCCCGTAATGAGGGTTAGACTACATGAATGGATATTAGAATCACACTCCTCAATGGAAACACTTATTACAACATAATCTCTTTCAAACAGAGTTTCATCAGCCACAACATATTCTGAGCTCTAACATGTAAAACCATGTCTGACCTGAGGTTGCTCCTGCAATGATTTTCTTCCAGAGCGGCGTGTGTGCAGGGTCGGTGGCCCCCAGGAGTTCCTTCATGGGCTCGTATGATCCCAGTCTGATGGTGCTGTATGATGCCTCACGTAGGATGGATGGAAACACGCTGTGTGATAAAGTCAGGATTCACATTCAAGATTTCATCTGTAGAAATGTCCAAATGCTTGTGTACGAACTCTACTACTGTGCTGTTATGAGGACCATGTGACTCAAAGCCAACTACAACTCTCACCTATATCTTTTCTTAGGTCATACAATGGTGTGACCAAATCTCTCAGCAAATGCTTGTACGAACTCTACTACAGTGCCATTACAAGGACCATGTGAGCCAACTACAACTCTCACCTATCTTAGGGCATGTAAGAACAAATCTTCAAGCAGATGTTGGAAGACTGAATCGTTACATTTTTTCTAGCTTCCCATTTCTGTTACAAAATAACTTCTAAGGCTGTTTGAACCAGAAGCTCGAAAAAAATCAACGACGTTGGAGAAATCATATTTACATGATCATTTCGCCTTCCAACATCTGCTTGGAGATTGATATGGCTAATCTACAACTGAACCTGGCACTTTAAGGGTTAAAAGTAATCTCCAAGCAGATGTTTCAGTGGCTGCGAAATACAGCGTCAAATTGGCCAGGCAGTATAATCCATTGGCCATACTGTATCCATTTGCCACCAGGCCAATTTAGTACAGTATTTTGCAGCCACCAAAATATCTGCTTGGACATTAGGTTAAAAGGTAAAACTCACCCCTTGTACAGTCCCCTGATTCCCTCATCCTTGGCAATAGTGACACTCCCCCGGACAAACCCCCGGTAGTAGCGCTCACGCAGCACAGAAACAACCTTCCCGCTTTCCCGTAGCTCATTATCCAGCTGCATCCGCACCTTGATTACGTCGATGGGGTTAGTCACTGCGGAGGGGGAAGGGAAGGGTTTGTGTCAGTAATTTCCGACAACAGTTGATGCTCTGTCAAAAACAATGTTCTTAAGTCAACATGGCCAGGGCTACGTATTGTGCTAAATTCACACCTGCACACACACACCTGCACACACACACACACACACACACACACACACACACTAGCTACATGCATACACACAAACACATAAAACATACATGCATACACAGGCACACATACACACCCAGTGACATATACACTATACAAGAACACACTTTGTGTCCTCTCCCACTAGTCCTATAAATTGTACATTATACTAGTAATTACAAGTAGAAGAGTTACCTATAGCTGCACAGACACATGAAGTCCCAGACAACACATATCGGGCAACATGCTCGTTCAATGTCTTCTCCTCACCACCCATCACAGCTGGTCACTATGAAACAATGGGTCAAACATTTCCAGTTTCACAACATACAAAGTGGGCCATAATGTTTCATTGAACAATTAAGTCAAAATACTACTTCTAACCAGCTAACACCATCACTCAATATAAACTCAGTCTGGAACTAGAGTGTTGTGACATGCTTAATATCAAGTCATGTGAACTATTAGATTGGTCACAGTAGGACAGCCCTGTTTTGTGACCCATAGAACCTGTTACCTGTAGTCTCCACCAGACTTCTTTTGCGGGGTGAATAAATCGTAGAAATCAGCCTAAAAAGGGTATTAATTGGACAGAGAAGGTAGCCGGCAAGAGAAGCTCCATTTCCCCGCCATTTCTTGATAATACCCTTTTTAGGCCGATTTCTACGATTTATTCAAACCGCAAAAGAAGTCTGGTGGAGACTATGTTACCTGTACATTACCTGATTATCTCTTCTGCATGCAAGGCAGCTACAAGGTGAAAACATAAGACAATCAACTTAACCTGAAAGCAAATTATGTGCAGACAACTTTCTTCTTTGATACCACTACTGCCTGACACCTGTTCATTACCACCTATCACTACCAGACCTGGCATTGTCTTTTTGTCAAGAATTTCAGGAAGGACTGAATTTGACCACATTTTTCCTACAATTTAATTATTTTATTTGGTGAACTGCTCATTCTTTGATAGGCAGTTAGATGAGTCTATGGAATAAGAATTATAAACGACCACCCCTCGAAGTACAAAATGGTATGGCCCTACATGTAATACTTGGTCAATACAATACAAGCCTTGGTTCAAGGTCAACAAAGTTTTCTGACACACACCACCCCACAAATTATGTCCTCTACTTTATCAAAATTATGACGAAAGCTGTCCACACGTTCTAAAATCAACTCCTTTAACACTTCGTGGAAGACCTGGATTCTCAGAAAAATGAGGAATTTGCGAAAAAGTGGGCGTTGGCCAAAAGTAGACAAGACAAGCTGTTCGCAGCTTATGAAAATGTACAAGAAAGCTCACCTGCGGTTTATCGTTTGATTATGCCGTCATCTTTTAGTCATCAGAATTAATCAGAGGTCATTAGGATACATAAAATCCTACAAAAATCAATCAGAATCATGAAATTTATGGAATCATTTCTTGTCCTGGACGCCGGAGTCTCTTCTATCTAATACTAGTAAATACGGCCGCCATTTTTAATTGGACGATTCTATCTGTAAAGGTAAAGGGGAGAAGAACTTGGCTAATTTTGGAAGGACGCTGACAAGTTATTCAAAGCTTCTTTTGAAGTTAAGTTGTTGCTAAAAATAGCAGACTGAAGTTTTGAACAGATTGAGTGAATGATTAACCAGGGGAGTTCGCTTACTTAACATAATTTAGGTAATCTTTTAAATCATATTATCATATAGCCAGGTGACGTTGACCAATCAGAAGGCTCCATTCCACATTCCTTATGACGCCGTAATGTCACAAATAGAGTCAAAATCGGGTATTTATTCATCCCAATCCATACATTAAACAACCCAAATAATCACCCGCAGAACAGGGCTCTAGTTCTAAAAAATCCAAAAATAACTTAAGTTGTATTCCAATGACCTCGGCTGACTCCCATAAGAACACCTGTTCCCTGCCTGTGACCCAGATAGAAGACATAGAACGTGAACTCTACCCAGTGACCTCAGGTGACTCCAGAGGGAACTATGTTCTATGTTCTATTCAGCATGTGCATTGTATCACTTACTGCATCAGTTTGGATAGACTATCGTGTAAGCTATATGATAATAGTGTTAATGTCCCGCCCTTTCTCGGTGAATATGGTGTGATAAAGCCTTGTCAGTTGCTATAACCACCTCATAAAGACCACCTCGTTCGCTGCGCTCACTTGGTGGCTTTATTCTGTGGTTATAGCAACTGACAAGGCTTTATCACACCATATTCACCTCGGGGCGGGACATTAACCCTTAAGTAACGTTACATGTAACGTTAAATGCTAGTAACTTTGACTTTGCTAAACGGTGCACACCCCAGTTCTTCGGCGGTAGTGCGCGGTAAAAAAAGTGACGAAAGGGTTTTGAGGGTCCAAGTTTGAGGTGATATTCCTCATAAACTGCCGTGAAAGAACATTAGATATCAACATGGCTGAAAAGTGTAAGAAATTGTGATTTTTTTTTTGGGGGGGGGGGTGAAAATTGATTTTCGCTTCGAGCCTTAACTTACTTCCGGTTTGTGTCTTTCTGACAGCACCCACAGCACCAGTCAGTTCAGCCTGAAACTGATTCTTTTTGTATGGGATTATCCTACGCGAAATTCTGTGCATAATTATTATTTTGGAGTGAAAATAATGATTTCTCTGTTAATTTTATGAAAATTAAAGATGTGAAAGAAATCAAACTCAGTTGGTCTTGTAGCTGAAGAGATATCATTTCATCCCATATACAGTTATTTTCCCTCCGAATTATTCCCCGACAGAGACGGTCGCTAGACTTGAGGGTGTGCAGCGTCGAGTAGAAACGCCAAATAAACTGAGGCGTGCCCCCTAAAACTCTTGTCTGGAAAGGCCGACAATGCCGCCAGCACCCAGGGCGCGCAAGAGTCCCCCCGAGAGCCTGAACAGGCCGACGACCCTGTCAGGACCCAGGCCGTGCCGGCTGTGGACACGGTAACACACAACGTTCAAACAGGACAGCAGGGCAGCGATGACGCAGGACGACACAGACGACAGTATGACAGACGACCAGAGGACTAAAAGAAGAGTACGTGGATGCTTGAGGAGGATCGGAAGGTTCTTGATGAGACCATTCACCTGTTGCCTGAAAAAATCAGAGGACAATTGAACTTGAACAATTACTTTAGTAGTTAGTTTAGTGTGTGTGAGACAGAATGCGAAACTTTTTTTTGACGAGTTTGATACAGTTATAATTTTATCCGCCAGAGGGCGTTTTTGTTTTGGCACTCAGAGGTTGCTACCACACAGGTTTTATAGACATGTACGTGTACATAATATTCTTGTTCATCCAAGGTACTCGCCCGAACGTGGGTTTGGATCGACTGAATATGTTTGTCGTATACATGGGTCGTGAAACTCTCCAGTAGAATACTATACACGGATGGTGTATTCTAGGCCATAGGTCATGTATTCCGTTGAGATTAAGTTGACGGTATGCTAAAACATTCTGTGACTGCAGACCACAGTCAATTCTCAATATGAAGCAATGAGTCCTGTTGACCCTTGCACACCTCCGTGTGCCATAGAAAATTCCGTTCCATACCTCTCCTGGGATGTGTGATCACCACGTCTGTATACACGCACGTGGGACGTCAGGTAATTCACATGGGGGAGGGGAGGGGAAATGTGGTTTATATAAGCGCAGGTGCAGCGCGAGAATTTAACGAACTCATGAAAATTCTGTCATTACGAAATATATAACCGTATAACGCCCAAAATTGCTTTGAAATTTGTAATTGACTGCTCAGATGTCAATTAAAATGACGAATTTTGCTCATTACACTGTCGATTGCAGCCGTCTTTTGTACAGGGATTCCGAAAGTAATGAACCTATTAGTATTAGGCGTTGGACGTTTTTTTCTTAATTAACATTGATAATGATTATATTGGTTAAGTAATCATTATCAATGCTAATTAAGAAAAAAAAGTCCAATACCAATACTACTTTCGTGTGCCTTCCTAAAACGTTTTAACGTGCAGATACAGCGTAACATGTCCGAAAATATTAGTATTACAATAGATTTTAGTGGAGAAAGAATTTTTTAAACCTTGAAAAATGTAACAGTACCACTCTTCTTCGTTTTTCAAGAGGTCAAGGGGAGGTAGGTCAAGGGTCTTTTGCAAATTGTTCAGTTCAGTTACAATCAGTCGTAGCAATACAATGTATTAAAGTATATACAAGTCCATACAAAATTCAAACATTATCTCGGTTCTTATACCTCATCAGTATCAGACATCCAAGTTTCAGTTCACAAATTGTGTCATTCTAATGAAAGAATAGCATAGAAATGGTAAAACCTACAATGTAGGATCGAAAAGAGGACCGAGTGAGTGAAGCCCACGCCGATGTTGATGTTGTCCTGCCGATGTTTTCCTAAGCCGGTGGGTTACGACAGGGGAGGGGATGCTGTGGAGGGGAACATGCCGGGAACAGCGTGGCGTTATCGCGCCCATTTTCTTCATTAGTCACGCTTCTGAATTACACACCAACTTTCTCTCACGGATCCGCGGTGCCTGGTAGAGGCTACGGGAACACGGTCTGAAGGCTAAAGGTAATTTCCAAGCAGAGGTTTGACCTTTGGGATTATTTTTGGCGTGTTTTTAGACTTTTTTTAAATCGGGGTTTCTTTTTTGCACTGAAAAAAAATTGTACTGAAAAAAATTACAGTGCAAAAAAGAAACCCCGATAAAAAAAGCCTAAAAACATGCCAAAAATAACCCCAAACCCAAAACCTCTGCTAGGAGAGTACGGGAACACGGCCTGAAGGTACAGCTACGTACAGTCGTCGATTGCGATTCTTTCTTCAAGTTTGCCATGGGATTATAAAGAAGGAGGCTATATTATACATGTATATCAGTATGCTAGAATCGACCGCCGACAAGGCTGTACGACAACATTTTCCGTCACAAGAATTTTGTAGGACAAAATCCACGAGAGTAAAGAATTTGCTGTCGTTCGCGCATGGTTCGCCTAATTATAAGGCACTGATTTTCATTTTCATATCACTCATCGTTATTCTTTCTCCGAGATTATGCATAGTGCCCTACAATTTTGGACAATATACTGAAAGAGGAGGAAAAATGAATACATAATTTGCTGTATGAATAAATGAAAGCGACAGCAATTATGTTGCTAGACAAGGAATTGAAAAAAAAGAGATTTTTGTTGCACATTTTTGAACTTGGTGTGATTTCTGTGCGTCATTTGTGAAACGAGGTACACAATGCGGTCGATTGTTAACTTTTGCTTTGACCGAGAACACCATTTCTTTCCCCTCAGTAATTATTTGGATCTGAATGCGCAGTCATGAATAATGGACCACCTCTAGCTGTGTAGGACACCTGAGTAAATGGACCTGACATAAATTTCGTGACCGCCCGGCGGAGTCATTGTGTGTATTTTTTTCTTGCCTGAAAACTGTGGACATGTTTTTAAATTTACCTTCGTTTGTGGAGCCATCTAGCTAGTCTCTACCAGGCTTCGGGAGGCGGCTGGAAAAACTAGAAATCAGCCAATAAATAGAGCGATAGCATGCCAGGGGAGTTGGTCTGCTGGAGAGAACAATTTGCCGCACCCTAACTCTCTCTTTCCAGACCCAACTCCCCTGGCATGCTATCTCTCTATCTATTGGCCGATTTCTACTCTTTGCCAAGAGCCTCCCGAAGCCTGGTAGAGGCCAACCTAGCCTTGAAAACAGCAACGGTCAAGCGGTTTACTTGATGTATGAAATACAGTAGCATAACGCATGTACAGACGTTAAATCCAAGATAACACAACCGTCCTATACAAACAAACATAGGCTTACGGCGGTGAAAGTGTAAATGCAAATTCCATAACGCGATATCTTTGTCTGGTTGGTTCGATAAATTTTGTTATTCATCAAGCAAGCCAAAACGTGCATTTCTAGGATGAGACGTAATTGTATACCGAGCAAAAAAAAAATTAATCAATTCAGACAAATTTAGTTGTCTGTTTTTGTGAAAAGACGGAACTTTGTTTCTCTCGCAGTTAAATTTATAGAAGAAATCTTGTGTTCACGATCCATGAGGCGAATAAGAATCTAGAAGGCGCGCACTCTTGACCAACGGTGTGCACTTTTGACGGAAGTTTTTAAAAGCGGTTATGCCTCTCAGCTTTTCTTCAAATATTTGCCGGACTTGATTACCTGTGCGTCGGTATGTCACTTGTGTACACACCGTTACGAACGGCTTTTTAAAAACCCACGTGACCACGTGTATCCAATTACAGACGACTTGACCTGAGTCACCTGGCTACAACACTTTGGCAAGGGAGAAGGTGTTCAGTAATGTTTGGCTAAAAAAGTAGTTTTATCGTCAGGGTTTACACCAATCGTCGCATCTCTTGCGCAGATTGGTGCCTTCCTAAACTCTTTATCGATAAGTTTTCAAATAATTTCAAAGTTTGAAACCATTATGAGTTTA